GTGAGCAGGTCTGTGTAAACCCATCCCCAAAGGCTGAGGGAGCTGAGAGGCTGAAGAAAGAGGCTGACAAATTCAGTTTGTCAGAAAGAAATATTTAATAGGATCTTACAAACAGAAGTGATATCTAGGGTGGCGATGTGATGGTGGGTCCCTACATTCACCATCCAGAAAGTATCATTTGTATAGCAAGCTTTAAAGGTACAAACATGTGCAGCTGATTACATCTCACTCTTTCTTGCTGTAACTCATGACCACTGGGGAGATTAGATAAGCATCTTTATACAGGGCTACATACGCTACAGGCATTGGTTAAAGACCTTGCCGTAGAACACTTTGGTATGCAGGGGTCAAACATCAGTTATTATGGTGAGTCCCCTCCCAGATGGAGTCACTCTTGACATACAGTGACTGTTTTCCTACACAGACACAAGGCTTTCATTTATCCTGTTTCCTCTGCCTGGAATACTCTTCCCTTCCCTTTTTAGCTTTTAGCTCTTGTTTGCTTTCAGATTCTAGTTCAGGCAAAACTTTTCTCTGAAAAATCTTTCTCTGACTATTAACTAGGACAAATCCTTTATAATAAGATTTCTACCCACTGTGTGTTTTTCCTTTATAGCTTCTGTTGTGGCAGCAATTTTATATCCATTTGTTTTCTATTTGATACATGTCTCCCTACCTAGATTATAAGCACAACTGAGGGCAGAAACCATGTTTGCATTTTTCATACTCTGAGAAGCCAGCATGGTTGTTGGCCCAAAACAAGTCCTCAATACATTTTGTTGAATGGATGAGTGAATGAAGGTATAGGTCATCCCTCCAGAAAGTCCAGTCTAGAAGGAAGATAGGAGTCACAACTCAAAATGTGACGTGTGCTCTATTAGAGATAGCACTACATTTTTTTTTTTTTAAAAGGGGACTTATTGAGCAATGAAATTCCAGAACCTAGTAACCACCACTTTAGGTCCTGAGGAATTTTAACAGAGAAAGTAATATAATCAAATACGTACTTTGGAAATTTTTCTCTGGCACCAAGGTAGAAGATGAGTTGTATCAGACTAAGCCAAGGGGCAGGGGTACAAATAAAAGATTATTTCAACATCCTTCTGAGAGATGAAGACCTGAATTTAGTTGGAAGCCATAGGGAGGAAAGAACAGATAAGAAATACAATATATAAAATAGGTTGAATCTTTTGGATTTAATGGTGTATTTATATGGGTGAAGGAGAAGACTTAGGTGAGTGGGTAATGCTGTTAATCAGGGTTGGGACTATAAGAAGTGGAATTAAATTTTGGGATAAAAGGATTGAGTTTATCTGAGGCATATGGTTCTATTGAATATCATAGTATTGTAGCTTTTATTTCTCTCTCTCTCTCTCTCTCTCTCTCTCTCTCTCTCTGTGTGTGTGTGTGTGTGTGTGTGTGTGTGTGTGTGTCTAAAGCTGTTAGGACTTCTTGAATCTAAAGCTGTTAGGATTTCTTGAATCATTGTCTGTTCTTGACTCCTGAGTATATTTTCCTGGTTTTCTTCCTACCTCACTGGCTACTCTTCCATGCACAAAGCTGGTGCCTTCCTCTAACTGCCTTTTTTTTTTTTTTTTTTTTTTTTTTTGAGACAGAGTCATGCTCTGTCACCCAGACTGGAGTGCAGTGGCATGATCTCAGCTCACTGCAACTGTCACCTCTAGGGTTCAAGCGATTCTCCTGCCTCAGTCGCCTGAGTAGCTGGGATTACAGGCATGCGCTACCACGCCCAGCTAATTTTGTATTTTTAGTAGAGATGGGGTTTCTCCATGTTGGCCAGGCTTGTCTCGAACTCCCGACCTCAGGTGATCTGCCCGCTTCGGCCTCCCAGAGTGCTGGGATTACAGGCATCAGCCACTGCACCCAGCCCTAACTTCTAATTGTTAGTGAATCCCAGGAATTAGTCCTAGGGTCTTTTGTGTCTCTGCTTTACTTTTTCACCAGGTAATTTCATCCAGTCTCATTTCTTTAAATACCTTTTATACACTGGTGACTTTTCCCAGCCTCTCTTTTGAACTCTCCAGACTAGTATACTCTAGTACTTCCTTGACATTCCTACTTAAATGTCTAAGAGGCATCTAAAACATAACAAGTCCAGCTACAAAACTGTTGGTTCTCTTTCTTCTCAAGACTGTTTCTCTCATCATCTTCCTCATTATGGTAAATTGTAATATGTCTACCCAGCTGTTAAAGTGAAAAGCCTGGGAATCAAAGCACCCATGTTGAAAGTATGGATGAGTTTAATACCATTAACTACTATTAATCATCTCAAAGCTTAAATGTCACCAGGATTATATGCCCAGGAAAGTTATAATTAGAAAACCCTCCTTAAACCCAGATTAAAGAGGAAATCACTCATCTTTTCTTCTAGTACCTGCATAGTTTAATATTTTAGAATTAAGTCTTTGATCCAATCAGAGTTGTAGTTTATCCATACGTATGATTTGGGAAATGAATCAAATTTTATTACAGAATTATTTATAATTGTAAAATATTAGAAATTATTTAAATGCTCAAAGATAGGAGACTGATTAACAAAAGCATAGCGTGCACATGTGTACACACACTTCATATTCACACACCCAGGAGTCAACCTTGATTTGCTTCCTTCCCTTCCTCCCTCTTCATCACATTTAGTCCATCATTAAATGCTGCTGGTTCTGCCTACAAACATATCTCATGATCCCCATTCTTGTATTTGTGCCTGAGTCACCATCATTTCTTGCCTAGCCTCTTACTTCCTTTCTTGACCCCCTTTATTAAGTCTCTACAAAACTGTTAATATGTGTGGGTTTCTCTTTTCAGCTTTTATTTTCTTTCTTTTTTCTGAGACAGGGTCTCAGTCGGACACCCAGGCGTGGAGTGCAGTGGCATGATCGTAGCTCACTGCAGCCTCAAACTTTTGGGCTTCAGCCATCTTCCCACCTCAGCCTCCTGACTAGCTGAGACTATAGGAATGAGCCACCACATCCAGCTAATTAAAAAAATTTTTTTTTGTAGAGATTGCTATGGCTGGTCTCAATCTCCTGGCTTCAAGTGATTCTCCTGCCTCCACTTCTCAAAGTCTTGGGATTACTGTTATAAGCCACTACACCCTGCTAATTTTTTTTTTTTTTTTAAAGAATAACATAAGTCTGAGCATGTCACAGACCTGTTAAAGTCTCCAATGGCTTCCTGTGAAACAATATAAAAATCTCAACCCTTGATCGTTATCTACTGATCTGGCCGACTTTTTGGCTTTCTCTCCTATCTCTCTCCCTTGCTCACACACTCGTCACAGGCTTTCTTGCCTCAGAACCTTTCATTTTCTTTCTTATCATTCGAATCTCAGTTCAGAGTCATCTTTAAGGAGGCCTTCTCTGACTCTACAACTTAATATTTTACCCTCATATTTCTCCTAGTCACTACCACATTTTTGTTTTAATTTCTTCATCGTGTTTATCTTTCTTCCTTTTATTCCCCTTTTTCTTCTTCCTTACATGTTTATGTTTCTCATTCTTTAGATTGTAGGTTTTGTCAGAGAAGGAATTTTATCCTTTTTGTTTATATCTGTACCACCACTGCCTGGAGCATTCCTATAGTCCTGGCACATAGAAAGCAGGTAAATATGAATATACCTCTTCACTTTGTGTGTGTGTGTGTGTGTGTGTGTGTGTGTGTGTGTGTGTGATACTGAAAAAAGTGATTGGGTTACTTTTTATAGTAAGACAATCATTAAATGCTGTGTTCAGAGTGCTCAAATATAGAATATTTGAAAAGGTGTAGACATTACCCTCAAAGATTGGGGAAGGAAAGAACAACATATACTTCATGTTGTTGCTTTGTTCAACTTAGTTTTCCTTTTTGGGCAGATGGGAGCAATAAGCAGAATGGCTGTGGTGAGGGGTAAAATCCTGGAAAGAAACAGGGGGCAGGTGAGAAAGAAGAGGAGCAGTGAACTATAAAAAGTGAAAATAATGGCGTGAGCATAGTGAAGTAAGAATTAGATCTCATCTTTATTCTGGAGAAGGGTCAGCACAAATTACATGTTAATACTCAACTCTTTTTTTATTTTTAATTTTTATTCTCTCTTTTGTCCCTTGGCATTTTGAATACTCAACTCTTGCTTTTCTAGATGAATGGAAGGGAAAAGAAGTATGAATGAATCCAAAGCAAGAGGGTAGTTTTGAAAAATCATGTTTGATTTTAGAGTTCAGCCAGAGGTAGATGAATCATAGATGTTCATCACCCATTCCAGGATCAAGTTCCTTTTCAGCAGCCCAAGTGGGGCCGTAAATGAAATGGTTAAAACAAGGCTACCCTTTGGGAGGCCGAGGCGTGTGGATCACGAGGTCAAGAGATCGAGACCATCCTGGTCAACATGGTGAAACCCCGTCTCTACTAAAAATACAAAAAATTAGCTGGGCATGGTGGCACGTGCCTGTAATCCCAGCTACTCAGGAGGCTGAGGCAGGAGAATTGCATGAACCCAGGAAGCGGAGGTTGCGGTGAGCCAAGATCGCGCCATTGCACTCCAGCCTGGGTAACAAGAGCGAAACTCCGTCTCAAAAAAAAAAAAAACAAAAAACAAAAAAAAACAAAAAAAAAAAACAAAGCTACCCTCGTATTGCCCTGTTAACTTTCCAGAGCTAGTTTTATATAATCTGCTCAGTATTTTAAATAAAAAGAGCTTCTGGTAGAAGTAAAATTATAGACAAAAACGTTTCTCCAAAATGGATGTCTCATTCAGTCTGAAACCACAGCTGTGTTCCCATAGTTTTGCCTTCCTGTTACTCATCCTCTAACTGTAAAAATGCCTTATTCATCTCCTGGACTCCCAAGTTCCAATCTCTGTGAAGATCTGCTCAACAGTTTTAGGCCAAAGTAATTCCTCTTAATGAAACTTCGTTGATACTCAAAGTCAAGTTTATAGCTTAGTAATTATTCCAGAAACATGTCTTAGGTCCTTAATTGGAAACTCCCTGAGGTGTTGGATATTCTAGATTCATGTTATTTATTTTGGGGAGGCTAAAGCATTTCCAGCCCAATTCTGGGCTAATGGTAAGTGTTAAAGGTGGATGGAATAGGTTATTTGAGTCCAATTCACATATCTTTATTCAAAATGGACAACCTACCTGAGCTCTTTAGGATGAATCTTTCTCCATATAAATCATTAATGACATTTTATTTTGTATTTCTTCAGATTAATTTAAAGGGCACTGGGGAAATAATTTTTGATTTGCACATGAAATAATGTACTGCTTTTCAGAATGAAAACTTATGAATCATTTTTATTATGAATAATTTAGGATGTTTTAGACATTCTATTTCTGAGTAAAATAGTTCAAAATAGGATTTTGTTAATGCCTGTTGATACATATTTAAAAACAAAAATGAGATATTCTTTTGAAAGTTTGCCTTTGTAGTAAATTCAGTCATTCAAATTGTTTTCTCTCAAGACCCAAAAATGCCAGGGCATTGTCAGCTTTGAGTTTATTCTGAAAAGAAAACAAAATAATTTATATTAAAGCATTATTGGTTGTTTTTTAAGTGCTACATTGAATATGTTGATCAGGTTTTCAAAAAATTACCTCCCCAATCTGAGAGAAAAATATTAGCAGATTATACAGTGAATCTCTTACCCAAATCCTCTCGACCTATGTTTTGCCCTGCTATTTGAAATCTCAATCTGAAACTTGATTGTAGGGGGAGAGAAAAAACTTATAAAGGGGAGAGCCTTCCTTAGGAGATGCCTTTTTTGGGAAGCTAGACCCTGTAACAGGTTGGATCTTAAGGACCGTTTGGAGGCAAATAAAGAGAAAAGGTACAGTTAGATCTGTGGGACACAAGGGCTGCAAAAGGTGCCCAGAAATCATCTAGTCATCCCCCAGCTGCTCGGCCTATGTGTTTTTTTTCACATGGCCCTAAACAAAAGTTAAGCTTTTTCAGAGCAAGAGAAGTGATATAAATGAAGGGTCTCAGATGAGGGTACAAATCTGTACATCTTAAAATTTTCACGTAAAAGAAAGACTCCCCAGCTATAAACTGTATCAACTCTGCCTAAAGAGGAGATTTAAGAAGTAACTTTGTGATACCTTGATTTGTTTATCTAGCTTGTAAAAGACAGACATATAGCTGAGGATGGAAGAAGTGTATGGGGTTGTGTAACATCCATACTATTAATATGTCCTTCTATATTGTGACCACTTTAGGGTTTTTACACAGCCTTGAAAAGTGGGTGATTTGAGGCAGGGACCTCTTACTCAGAGTTCTTCCCCAGTACATACTTAGGACATCGTCCTCTAGAGGAAGATTTCAGAAGTGACTATTGCTGCTCGGAGAAACCATGTGCTTTACCTTTTAAGATAGCTTGGTACCATGTATCCTTTGAGGGAGGTACCTTTTAGAGTGTTAGATGGAGATCTGATCCTGGAGTCCAGGGATTTGGGATCACATCCATATGCTATAACCCACCAGTTATATTGCCTTTGACAAGTCACTAAACTCCCAAGTCTTGTTTTCTTTCTCCCCATCTTCATGGTGGAATGCATCCGCTTATACAGAGCAGTCGCTGCTTATCTATGAAGGATACATTCCAAGACCCTCTGTAGATGCTATATAGAATCTTATAAATGCTATGCACAAATTTATTGTTCCTTCCTCACAGTTTCATAGATAGAAGATGCATGCTTACAAAATAAGAACTTAGCAACCTCAACATATACTTTCTCTTTTTTTTTTCTTATTAAGTTGAGATCTTTTACCCTTTCACTTAAAGGAAGCACTTTACAGCTTCTCTTGGGCACGTCTGAGTTACCAGCATCACTACTCTTGTGCTTTGAGGCCATTATTAAGTAAAATAAGGGTGCGTTGAGCGCAAGCATGGCAATATGGCAACAGCCCATCTGATCACCAAGACAGCTACTAAGTGACTAATGGGGAGGGAGCGGATACAGCCTGAAGACACTGGACAAAGGGGAGATTCACATCTTGGGCTGGAGAGAGCAGGACAATGTGAGCTTACACTGTGCTACTCAGAATGGCATGCAATTTAAAACTTACGAATTGTTTCTGGAATTTTCCATTTAATATTTTTGGACTGTGGTTGACTCGGGTAAGAGAAACCGTAGAAGGCAAAACTGAGGATAAGGGGGGAATGCTGTACCTTCCAATATTGTTGTACTTATCAAATGGATTTATTTATTTTATTTTAAATTTCTTTAGTGGTATTTACCTTTGCATGGTTCAAAATTCAAAATGTATAACATAGATACTTCATTCCATTACTGCCATCTAACTACTTTCTTCTTCCCAGAGTTATCAGTTTCTTGTTTATGTTCCAGAGACATTTTATGTTTATACTGCATAAGCAAATACTTATATTCAGGCATATAAAGCTTCTTTTTTGCAAAAGATGTATTTGATCTACAAATGGAAGTATACTATACAAATTATTTTATACCTTGCTTTTTAAAATTTAATGTATCTTGGAAGTTGATTTCTAATTTATTTGTAGTGGCATAGTTTCCATTTTGTGGATATATTATGATTTATTTAACTATTCACCTAAAGATTGTTTTCAGTATTACAGCATTACAATGAGTAAACTTGTACAGAATGTCATTGTGAATTTGTGTCAGTATAAAGCCTTTATGCAAGAATACAAAAAAAAACTTGAAAGTTACAAGTGCATATGAATAAATAAAAGGCATGTAATAATAATTACTATTATTCTATTAAGTTTTTAATCAGGATATTTGGGATCATCTGGTTTCTGTTTAATTTTGCTTAACAGGAAGTTTTTCATTTTCAACCTTTCTTGTTTAAAAAAAATAAAAAACGTCTTTACGACACTTCCTACTTTAGGAAGGAAACAGGTAAATATTTAACAATATTTAATAGTTAATATTTAACAGTTCAAGACTTTTAGTGCCAAAGGGGACACTGTCTGTGTAAAGCAGTCTGAGGTTTCCCAGTTGATAACTTGTAACTAGTATACTGCAGAATGAATTCTTCCTGGCATCTGTTAATGTGCTTCAAGCCTATTGAGAAGATTTGATGAACAATATCTTTAATGATTAAGGCAGAGAGAGTTCGAAGTAACTTTTGGATTCTAGTTTAGAAGAAAGCCAAAAATTATGCCGAAGGATTACAACTAAGACTTTTGTAAGATTTATTAAGAGTTTATATATTCCCATATTGTTATTTTTGGCTATCCTTGACCTCTGGGGGTGATGAGCAGTGAAGGCCTTAGGATGAAGTAATTTTTTTTTTTCTGAAGGATTGGGGTGTGGAAGGAGTGGCAAAGGAGAAGGATTCTTAAGACACTCATTTTAAACTCATCTTGGTTCAGGAGTCTAAGGGGTAATGGTAGCATTATAGCACATATTAGTTTACCCACCTTAAAAGTCAAATGCCAGGGGAAAAAAAGGCCAGTTACTTGAAGTGTCTGATTCCTTTGGTCCTTTTTAATCAAGACTTTTGTTTCATTATCTAAATAACTAGCGTTATTACAACTTTTAAGATTGGTATATTTGTAACAAATAATATAGAAAAAATCTAGACCTTTTTTTCCATGATCCATCTAACATGCAGGCATATTTTATTGTCATATGCTTCTATACAATTTTGTTTCTTGGGTCTATGAATTTAGTTATACTAGGCTGACTTTCAGTTTTGTCATTTTTTAATCTTTTGCCTTTTGATAGTTTAGCTGTTTATGGAGATAGAGTAATAGTTTTTGGGATTTAAGTGTAATGGTTCCTCTGTTCTTTGTTTTCATGTATCAAAGTGCTCTGAAACCAAACCCAATTAGAGCCGGAAAAGTCAGTAAGAAAGCTGTGAAGTAAAAGACATTATACCTTTGTATCTTCATCAAATTCTTCCATGGACTCTATTAGTTTTCCAGGTTCTAGCTCACCTAGTGGAAAGGGGTAATCAGTTCCCAAAATGACTTTGTCCTAAAAAAAAAAAAAAAAAGATGTATTTCTCTATAATCTTGTAGAACATAAAAGAGCCTCCTGTAAACAATTATATTTACTTATTACAAACATTCCTGTCCTAAAATAACACATTTCTTCCTGATTAACAGAAACATAAAACTGGTCTAAAATTTTAAAAAGATTTAATGGTTCAAATTCTATTCGGACTTTTTTTCCAGCAGGTGTCACTATTAGGTCTCTTAAAGTTCCATGTCAAACCCATTCTCTGTTTTTTAAATAACCGAAACATAGAATACTGAAATACAAGAATTTTTTATTTACTAAAATAGATATATTCAGATGAGATTAAGGGATTCTTTCTTAGAATGTATATTGCAATTGATTTCACAATTTTTCAAAGCATTCTATTAACAGAGTAGGAAAGGAAAAATAAAAAACAAATTAACTAGATAAAAATTTTAAAAAAAGAAAAAGAAAAAGAAAATCCCCAAACAATTCCTATCTCTGAATCAGTTCTTATAAACAATTCCTATAAACTGGATCATGAGTTTTTGAACAGTATAACTTTGAATTTGTATTTGTCACTTTATACAGTGAAATGCATAGGCTTGTCAATCTACAATTATATTAAGCAGTATGTCAGACAATGTGCTAGACTCTAGATGTACGCTGGTGAACAAAACAGACATAGTCCCTTTTCTCAAGGAGCTCATAATCAAGTGAGAAACACATTAAATCAATAATGGCAATTTATTAAAATAAAATAAAAATGTTTTCAACCAGAAATTTTACTTCTCAAAATGTATTCCACTCTTACACTTGTGCTGGAAAGATAGAAAAGGAAATTAATTGGAACATTATTTGGAACAGCAAAAGACTAGCCAACTAAATTATAGAATATCCCAAAATAAAAATGAATAAAGAATACTTACATATGCTGAAATGGAATAATCTGCAAGGAACAGTGATCTTGAAGTTATAAGGAGAAAAAAAGAGTCTAGAACAATGTGTCTGCTATGCTTATGTATCTGTTTTTAATAAGGGACCTACAGACCCACAAATATGTGTTTGTACATATACGGTCTATTTCAGGAATGGTATCTAAGAAACAAGTAACATTGATTGCCTCCATGGAGGACGACTAGGGTTTGGGGGTCAGAAGATTCCCTTTTCTTTTTTTTTTGAGATATAATTCACATACCATAAAAGTCACCCCCTTTAAAATGTGTAATTCAATGGGTTTTAGCATATTCGTGAGTTTGTGTAATCATTTCCACTAATTATAGAATGTTTAAAGAATATTTTTTTCATCTTATATAACAGCAGATTTATATCACCTCCAAAATAAACTCTATATCCATTAGCAGTGATTCCCCATTCTCTTCTCCCTCCAGCCCTTGGAAAACACTAATTTACCTTCTATGTCTCCAGAATTGCCTATTTTGTACCTTTTACGTAAATAGAATCACAGAATATGTAGCCTTCTTTCATTTAGTTTAAAATTTTCAAGGTTCATCCATGTTGCTTGAATCAATACTATACCTAAGAGTGGAAGTGCTGGCACATATGGTAAATCCATGTTTAACATTTTGAGAAACTATTTTCTACCAAGGCTGCAGCTTTCTGCATTCCCACCAGTATGTGTGAGGGTTCCAGTTTCTCCAGATCCTCACCAACATTGGTTATGGTTCATCTTTTGATTATGGCCATCTCAGTAGGTATGAGGTGGTGTCTCACTGTAGTTTTTATTTTTATTTCTCTAAGAAGTAATTATGTTGAACATGTTTTCATGTGCTTATTGGCTATTTGTATTTCTTCTTTGGAGAAATGTCTATTACGATCCCTTATGTACATCCATGTCCATTTTGTTAACTTTTTATCATTGAATTTTAAGAGATCTTTATGTTCTGAAAACTAGAGCCTTCTAGATATATGATTTGCAAATATTTTCTCCATTTTGTGAGTTGTCTTTTTTGTTTTCTTAGTATTGTCTTTTGAAGCACAAAAGTTTTAAATTTTGATGCAGTCTTCTTTATCTGTTATTTTCTTTGGACACTTGTGCTTTTGGTGTCATAGTAAAGAAACTGTTACCTAAGCCAAAGTCACAAAGATTTACACCTAAGGTTTCTTCTAAGAGTTTGTGGTTTTAGCTCTTCAATTTAAGTCTTTGATCCATTTTCAGTTAATTTGCATGGTATAAAGGAGTCCAACTTTATTTATTTATGTATTTTACATGTGGATATCCACTCTTATCTCACTGTCATATGTTGAAGTCTATTCTTCATCACACTGAATTGTATTGGCACCCTTGTTGAAAGTTAGTTGATCTTTATATCTGTCTTCAAGCTAGTCACACACAGTCTTGATTACTGTAGTTGTACAGAAAGTTTTGAAGTTGGGAATGTGACTGTGCCAATTTTTTTTCCTTGATTGTTTGGCTATTCTGAATCCCTTGCATTTTCTTTTTGAGACAGTTTCATTCTTGTCGCCCATCCTGGCTCACTGCAACCTCTGCCTCGTGGATTCAGGCAATTCTCCTGCCTCAGCCTCCCAAGTAGGTGGGATTATAGGCACGCGCCATCACGCCTGGCTAATTTTTGTATTTTTAGTAGAGATGGGGTTTTGCCATGTTGGCCAGGTTGGTCTCAAACTCCTGACCTCAGGTGATCCACCCACCTTGGCCTCCCAAAGTGCTGAGATTACAGGTATGAGCCACTGCGCCCAGCTCCCTTACATTTCCATATGAATTTTTGGATTAGCTTATCAATTTTTACAAAATAAAAGACATCTGGAATTTTGATAGGGATTGCATTGGATCTATAGATCAGTTTGGGGAGTATCACCAGTTAGCAATATTAAGTTTTTGAATCAATCAACATGGAATGTCTTCTCATTTAGGTCTTCTTTAATTTTCTTCAACAATGTTTTTTTTTTTTTTTGAGACAGAGTTTCGCTCTTGTTACCCAGGCTGGAGTGCAATGGCGCGATCTCGGCTCACCGCAACCTCCGCCTCCTGGGTTCAGGCAGTTCTCCTGCCTCAGCCTCCTAAGTAGCTGGGATTACAGGCACGCACCACCATGCCCAGCTATTTTTTTTTTTTTTTTTGTATTTTTAGTAGAGACGGGGTTTCACCATGTTGACCAAGATGGTCTCGATCTCTTGACCTTGTGATCCACCCGCCTCGGCCTCCCAAAGTGCTGGGATTACAGGCTTGAGCCACCGCGCCCGGCTCAACAATGTTTTATAGCTTACAGGGTATATGCTTTGTGCCTTTTTGGGTTATATTTTTCACAAGTGTTTTTCTTGCTGATGCCATTATAAATGGAATTGTGTCCTCAATTTCATTTATGATTATTCATTGCTAGTAAATAGAAATATAATTAATTTTTTATTTATCTTGTACTCTCTAAGCTTGCTAAATCTGTTAGCCCTAATAGTTTCTTTGTGGATTCTTTAGGATTTTTTATATACAAGACCATTTCATCTGCAAGTAGAAATAATTGTGTTCCTTTCCTTCCAACCTAGATGGCTTTTATTTGTTTTTCTTGCCTAATTGCCTTGACTAGAGCCTTCAGTACAATGTTGAATAGAAGTGATGAGAATAGAGCCTTTGGTCTTTCATCATTAAGCATGATGTTAGTTGTGGTTTTTCACTTATTGAACTCTTATATTTTTTTGAGAGTTGGTGAAGAATTTGTTTTAATTTCTTTTTTTTCCTTTTTCGTTTTTTTTTTTTTGTTTTTTTTACATTTTTAAATAGAATTCACCAGGAAAGTCATCTGGTCATCAGCTTTGCTTTGTGGGAAGTTTAAAAATTATTAATTTAATATCTTCACTTATTATAAGCCTGTTTGAATTTTCTGTTTCTTCTTGAGCCAGTTTTGGTAGTTTTTCTAGGAATTTCATAATTTCATTTAGGTTATTTCATTTGTTGGCATGTAATTACTCCAATTTTTACTTACAGTTCTTTTTATTTCTCTAAATTCTGCAGTATTGCTGTCCCATTTCATTTGTGGTTTTAGTATTAGTAATTTGACTCTTTTTTCTTTATTTTTGTTGGTCAGTCTAGCTACAGGTTTGCCAATTTTGTTGCTTTCAAATAACCAAATTTTGGTTTCATTGATTTTCCCTATTTTTTAAATAATCTATTTCTTGTATATGCTCTAATATATAATATTTATTTTCTTTTGCTTGCTTGAGATTTAGTTTGCTCTGCTTTGTCTAGCCCTCAAGGCCAAGTCCTATGCCACCAAATTAAGGTCTTTCTTCTTTTTAAATATAGGTATTTTACAGCTATAAATTTTTCACTAAATACTGCTTCTAGCTGCATTCCATAAGTTTTAGAATGTTGTGTTTTTGTATTCTATTCATGTCTAATATTTTCTAATTTTCCTTGTGACTTCTTCTGTCTCGTGTCCTTCCATTTTAGCCTAAAGAACTCCCTTTGGCATTTCTTGTACGGCAGGTCTACTCATGATGAATTAGCTCAGTTTTTGTTCATCTAGAAATGTCTTAATTTCTCCTTCATTCTTGAAGGACAGTTTTGCTTGAAACTGAATTCTCACATTACAGGGTTACAGCAGTGTTTTTTTCGTTTGTTTCTTTCTTTCTTTTAGTACTTTAAATTTGTCTTCCACTGCTTTCTAGCCTCCATGATTTATGAGGAGGGCTAAGGGATAGAATCATAGGTATCGTAAACATGGTGGGCAGAGTAACTGCAGAAATGGAGAACAGAGGGAGAACGCCTGCAAAAGAGGCAGATAGAGGCAGGGAGGTGGAAAGAGAACTAGAAAGTAGTATTTTTAAAAAATGTAGCCAGCATGGTGGTTCACACCTGTAATCCCAGCATTTTAGGAGAGAGAGACAGAAGGATCACTTGAGCTCAAGAGTTGAAGACCAGCCTTGGCAACATAGTGAGACCTTAGTAAAACAAATTATCTCAGTGTGGTGGCACACACCCGTAGTCCTAGCTGCTTGGGAGTATGAGGTGGAAGAATTGCCTGAGCCTGGAGATGGAG